TTAGTTAAATAATGATTGTCAACAATACAGGTGGTAAGTTTGTCAGGTCATCTCCAACCGAGTCGCCCAAAGGGTTATAGGCCAAAATATAGTCTGTTTTGACACAAAATCCATCTACAATTGAGAGCTAGGCCAAAAAAATTTGGGACCCACCATGCCAAAATATAGCCAAATGGCCAGAGGGCTAGGCAAACATAGCCAGTCAGCTAGACCTGAAAGTTAGGCCTAACTGTGCTAGCTGACATCATGTAGCTTTTTTTTTTATTTTCCTTTTTTTTTTATAAAGAAGAAATTAAAAAAAAATTAAAATTCTAATTTTTTTCCTATAAATACCTAAGCCATTTCTACACTATTTTTCACATTTTTTCACTCTTCCATGCTATTTTACCTCATTTTAATGTCTAAGTTGTTAACATGTAAGTAAAATTAAAATATTTAATAACATAAAACTTAAATAATATGAAACTTAAAACAACATTTAGCGACCAGTGATCCTCAAAATATGTCCGGAAATCTTATTTTAATATGGTAGTTTAATTCAATTAACCGTTAAAATTAAAGAATAAACTTAAAATAATAAATTATTGAAGGGGGCTAAAAATAGCCTCTTCGGTTGGAAATTGTATATAGATATGGTTTGGCACTATTTAATAAAAAAAAATAATTTCTTTCAGAACTATAATCTAAACGGGGGCTAAACATAGCCCCTTCGATTGAGGTGGCCTTAGTGTTTGATTAGCGTTGTTAGGCTCTTTGTTATAAACAAAGTTGTATAATCATCATAATTCAGTTGTTAGGCTCTAATTCATCATTTTTCTCACTATTCATCTTTACTTATTTGTTTTCTCTTTAATTCTCAAATATTTATACACGGTTAATATATAACAGTAATTACATATGTATGCGGCAAACAACAGATGTTATAATGAATATACGAAAATGAATTTCGAAAGATTCATGGTCCAAAGTATAATACTGACATGTGTATGACAATGGATCTAGCTAGTTGATGGATTGGTCATCATTATTTTGGAGAGTGAGAAAAAGATCATATGAAACAAGTCATTGTCGTCGGCAATGACCATTCCTTTATCGCATCGATGCATGTAAAATTCGGCTGCCATGACTCTCTTTCTGTCTCCCTCCACCATTAAGAGAGTAAGAAACTAATGAAACTTACAGATGTAAAACTAGTAAACTATGTGATTCTTTTGTCGATCCTCTAGTGGATTTAATAGTATAATGATACGCATGATTATATTTATCCAATTTCAAACCGATCCAGTATATACAAACCAAAACTATTAGGTCATGAAGAAAATATCGAAAGATATATGGCTTTATTAGACAAGTATTATCTTTGGTCTTATAGAAGTTTGTGTTTATGATTAGAACTATTCATATTATAAAACACTATGTAAAAATTATCTCTGTAAAAAAATCAATTAAAACTAGGGTTATTTATTCACACCCAATAATTTGTTGAAAACACCCCACAATTCCAACTTTATCCTTCCTTTTGTTGAATTCACCCCACCTCCCAAATACAAAAAATCTCACACTGCCACCCACCCACCACCATCCTTCTCCGGTGATTCCATTCAACCTAGCCAAAACACAAAATTGAAATTTCATGCAGTTAGCTGTACACTTTATAAATCTAAACTAGCTTATCAGGGAAAGATAAAAATTTCATCGCAACATCCAAACAGTCTATCATAGAAATGATGGAAAGGGGTTTTTTAACAGTTTTCTAGGCTGCATTTTTCATCCATAATCCCAGTAGCCCAATGCATGTATGATCATTCCCCTCAATCCTATGACAAATGCCAAACAAAAGCATAACTATGAAAGAAAGAAAATTAAGATTGAATGGGGTCATCGGCGAAGTAGTGGTTGTGGTTGTGGCGTGGGTAGCTGTGGGATTTTATTGTTTGTGGGGCGGGGAGGTGGATTCAACAAAATAAAGGGTAAAGTTGGAATTCTAAGTGGAAATTTTGAATGTGGGAGTGTTTTCAATAAATTGTGGGGTTTAAATAAAACAACCCAAAAAGGGTCGTTTAGTTAATTAATGTAGCAACTAGATAGATTCGTAATACTTTTATATTGATTATGACAATATGTTTTTATATAGTCTGATGTAGGGGTCGTTCGGTATGAGATCCCAAACCGAAAACGGAATCTCGAATCACAAACCAAAAATTTTGAGAACGGGAATTTGAAGATCAATCCCAAACCGAAATTTCGGTATTCTCAATTTTAGAGATTCTTGAAATGTTTTCGGTATTTCAAGATGGATCGGGATTGCGTTTTGGGTTTTGGGCATAAATTTGAAATTTTTGGATTGTGGGCTAAAATTTGGGTCTTTGGCTTAAAAGTTTGTTGCCCAATTTCAGATCAATTAAAATTTAATCTTTTTGCATATTACCAATTTGAAATTTCTTACCAATTGAAATTTCAAATCATTCTTACCAAGTCAAATTGATGTTTCAAACTTCCAAATTACTTTATTTCATACTTAAATTCAACATTCAACATGCATGCAACCAAAATAAATATACATATATATTTTCGATTTAGTTCGGGATTCTCAAACCATTGAATATGTAATCGCAATTTCCGTACCGAAAAGTTCAGGATCGGTTCGCACTACTACAAAAGGACCTAATAGTGTCACTTCTTGCGTCGCTTTAATATTATATAGTGGCGAAAAAGAGATTTGCGACACTCAGTGAAGATGACGTCGTATTTAGTGTCGCTTATAAGCGTCATAAAATTTCTATGTCGCTTTTAAACCGACGTAAAAATTTAGTGTCGCTTATAATCGACATATATTTTAATATTTTTAAGCAATGGCGTCGCTTTAAATAAAATAGTGTCGCTTTTAAGCGACATAAACTATTAGTGTCGCTTCTAGGCGACACTAATTCTTGTTTTTAATATTTTAAATCTTGCGTCGGTTTTGAGCGACATATATTTTGAAAACCAGTGTCGGTTGTAAGCGACACATTGTTGCTCTTTATACCCTCTCCCCCGTGTTTTCTTTTTCTTCTCTTGCACTTTTCTTATTCGTTCTTCCAATTTTTACAAAGTCTCCCGTGTTCCTCTTTCAGCTATCTCCTTTGGTTTGCAAACTTCATTTGTTCCTCTGTTCTCTCTTTCAGCTTTCTCCTTTGATTTTCAAAATTCATTTGTTCCTCTTCACAACAGTAAGTTTTTCTTGCTTATAATATTTTTATTTTCACAACAGTAAGTTTTTCTTGTTTAATTTTTAGTTACAATTTATTTTTGTAGGAAAGTTATTGGAGTTGGTTGAGTACATAAAGAATTGTTGACGTCGAAATTCTTCAACAAATCAAGTTTGTATCCCTAACTTCTTTAATTTTTAAATTGTATAATACACAAGTTTATTTATTTAAAAATTATAATTTAAGCACTTAGATAAAATTCTACTATTTTTGTTAAATTAATAAAAATTTACTCGAATTAATTAATTTTGTCACTCTAATTGTTATTTTAATTTGTTGTTATTTTGATAATTTTTTGTTGTTATTTACTAGAATGAATTAGATGAACATAATTTGAATTGTTATGAGAAAATGGAATGAATAATATTTATAAGCATTTATGTTAAATTAACAATATTAAATATAACATAAACTTATAATATTGAGTAATATAAGAATATATTATGTTAATTTTTTTTTTGCACTCTAAGTGTTATTTTAATTTGGTGTTATTTTGATAATATTTTGTTGTTATTTACTAGAATGGATTAGATGAACATAATTTGAATTGTTATGAGAAAATGGAATGAATAATATTTATAAGCATTTATGTTAAATTAACAATATTAAATATAACATAAACTTATAATATTGAGTAATATAAGAATACAATATGTTAATTTTTTTTTTTTTGCACTCTAATTGTTATTTTAATTTGTTGTTATTTTGATAATTTTTTGTTGTTATTTACTAGAATGGATTAGATGAACATAATTTGAATTGGTATGAGAAGATGAAATGAATAATATTTATAAGCATTTATGTTAAATTAACAATATTAAATATAAAATAAACTTATAATATTGAGTAATATAAGAATATATTATGTTAATTTTTTTTTTTGCACTCTAAGTGTTATTTTAATTTGGTGTTATTTTGATAATATTTTGTTGTTATTTACTAGAATGGATTAGATGAACATAATTTGAATTGTTATGAGAAGATGGAATGAATAATATTTATATGCATTTATGTTAAATTAACAATATTAAATATAACATAAACTTATAATATTGAGTAATATTATAATATATTATGTTTTTTTTTTTTTTTTTTTGCACTCTAATAAGAATATAAGCTAAACTTATAATATTTAGGAATATAAAAATATAAGAATATAACCTAAACTTATAATATAAGAATATCCTTTCATATAAGAATATAACCTTTCATATAAGAATATAACCTAAACTTATAATATTTAGGAATATAAGAATATATTAATTAATTTTTTTTGCACTCTAATTGTTATTTGAATTTGTTGTTATTTTGATAAGTTTGATAACTTTTGGTTGTTATTTATTAGAATGGATTAGATGAGCATAATTTTGACAACTTTTTGTTGTTATTTTAATTTGCTTTTACTATAATAGGTGTTGAAAATTAAAAGATTGCAATCGTGATAGAGTTCGAGGGGTGAAAGATAGAAATTGAAAATTTTGATAGTTATGCCTACATGATAGGGATTGAAAGATTGTAGGCATCTTAGTGTCAACATAATATTTTACCTTCGTAAAGTGGTAAAATATGGACAAGAGTTGGTTGACAATACCCCGAAATTTTGAAGCGTATACAACTGGAATTAATTTGTTTTTGGATCAAGCAGTTGCAAATGGTGTTGGTCCTGATAAGTTTAGATGTCCTTGCAAAAGATGTTGTAATCGATATTCTTTTGTTAGGAACACCATTGTTGAACATCTCATATTGTATGATATGGATAAAGATTATAAAAACGCTTGTTGGCGACATCATGGCGAGCAAAACATTGGAGAGCAAAATGTGGGAATTGGAGAAGAAGAAACAGGAGATGAGGTGATTGGCATGCATGATTTTCTTAATGATGTATTTGTCCAACCATTAACAGAAGAAGGTGTTGGGCCATCTACTGAACCCCCTATTGGGGAAGGGCGTCCAGAAGAGGTGCAGACTTTTTTTAAGTTGCTTGAAGAGGCAGATCAAGATTTGTGGCCAGGTTGTAAGGAGTTTAAGAAATTGGAAGCAGTTGTAAGATTGTATCAGATCAAGTGTTTAGCGGGAATGCCTGACGAGATCTTCACCACTTTACTGGAGTTAATTAAAAGAATGTTGCCTGAAGGGGATTGTTTGCCTGAATCCTGTTATAAAGCAAAAAAACTTATAAATGACTTGGGGCTGTCGTATGTGAAAATTGATGCATGTCCCAATGATTGCATGATCTATTGGAAAGATACTTCAGATTTGACCGTGTGCTCAGTTTGTGGTAAATCAAGATATAAAATTACCGATGCAGAGGATAGCTCGAGGAAAAAGGTCGCAGCTAAGGTTATGTGGTATTTTCCTTTAAAACCACGATTGCAACGCTTTTTTATGTCGAAGCATATGGCTGAACATATGAGATGGCATGCAACTGAATGTCCTAAGGATGAGTTTATGAGACATCCTTCAGATTCTCCCGCATGGAAGCATTTGGATAATTTATATCCGGATTTTGCGTCAGAAATTCGAAATGTCCGATTAGGGTTAGCCAGTGATGGATTTAATCCTTTTGGGAAAATGAGGAATGATCATAGCACATGGCCTGTGGTGCTTTCTGTTTATAATTTGCCACCTTGGATGTGCATGAAGCAACCAAATTTGTTATTGTCTTTGTTAATACCAGGACCGCGCAGTCCTGGTAAAGAGATTGATGTATACATGCGTCCATTGATTGACGAGCTGAATGAGTTGTGGGAGGTGGGCATTCCCACTTATGATGCGTTTTCCAACCAAAGTTTTACGATGAAGGCTGCCGTGTTATGGACCATAAGTGATTTTCCGGCTTATGGAATGTTGTCAGGATGGAGTACACATGGTTATAAAGCTTGTCCACATTGCATGCATGATAAAGAATCTACTTACTTGCCAGCGAGTCGCAAGATTTGTTATATGGGGCATCGACGATTTCTTGAAGATAATCATAGGTTTCGAAGGCAAACCATCACTTTTAATGGTCGTCGAGAGCATCGTACTGCACCAAGGCAGTGGACTGGTTTACAATGTCTCGAAGAACTTTCTACATTGAGATTTACTTTTGGAAAACCAAACAAGGATGCTTCAGTTGGGCAACGCAGAAGAAGAGCTTCGAGCAGTACAAGTAGTAACAGTCAGTGGAAGAAGAAATCGATTTTTTATGAACTACCTTATTGGAGGCATCTCTTGATTAGACACAATCTTGATGTTATGCATATCGAGAAGAATATATGTGACAGTGTGGTGGGAACATTGCTAGATATAGAAAAGTCTAAAGATGGATTGGCGGCACGTGCAGATCTTGAATTCTTGAACATAAGACATAGTCAACACCCACGTAGAGAAGGAAATAGAACATTTCGACCTCCAGCATTGTTCACATTGAAAAGAGAAGAAAAAACTGCGTTTTGTAAAGTATTGTCTACTATTCGGGTCCCAGATGGATATTCATCAAATCTGTCACGATGTGTGCACGTGAATGAACGAAAAATACATGGGTTGAAAAGTCATGATTGCCATGTTTTAATGCAGCAGTTACTCCCGCTTGCAATACGCCCGGTTTTGCCTAAAGCTGTTACTATGGTTTTATTAGAGTTGAGTGCAATTTTCAGACAGTTATGTAGTAAGAAGGAGTCTGAGGAAGGATTTAAGCAACTGAATTCAAGAATTGCCTTGACATTATGTCAACTTGAGAAAATATTCCCTCCTGCATTTTTTGATATAATGGTGCACCTCCCAGTTCACTTGGCAGATGAAGCAGCGCTTGCAGGCCCTGTTCAATATAGATGGATGTATCCAATTGAACGGTAATGAATAAATTTTTATAATTTTTTTACAATTGTAGTCATAACTTTAATTAATAATTATAATAATTTGTATTTCGTTTTATAATTGTAGGTATTTGCAAACACTGAAGCGCTATGTTCGTAATAAGGGTCGTCCTGAAGGTTCTATTGCTGAAGCATATTTGGTGGATGAGTGCTTGTCATTTTGTTCCATGTATCTTAGAGACGTTGAGTCTCGTCGTACCCGTAGAGGCCGAAATGAAGATGGGATTGGACGTGGAGTATCTGGTGGGTTATCAATTTTTGACTCGAAAGGATGTTATATGGGTTCAGGAGAAAATGTGGAGCTCAATCTAAATGTTCTTGATCAGTGCCATAGATACATTCTAAATAATTGTGATGAAGTTAGCCCATTTAGAAGGTAAGAATGTTTAATCATACGTCGAAATGTTTTATTGGTTTTCTTAACTTTGAAAAAATAATTATCTAAATTGGACATAATTGTGTAGGCAACATGAAGAATTCTTGAAAACTAAATATCGTCGAGAAAGGTTAACTATGCGACAAATTAAAGAGCTAAGCAAGAAAGAATTTCCAGAATGGTTCAAGCAACATGTGAGTTGATATAATAATCATATTATTTATTTATTGTTTTGCATTTTAATTATAACATGTTTATAGTTATTTTGTCAATATTTATCTTCATACTTATTACAGATGAATTCAAGATATGATGCTAATGACACATTGATATCTCAAGACTTGCATTGGCTAGCTAATTATCCTAGTAGGGTTGTGAGCAGATACAAAAGTCACATTGTTCATGGATTTAGATTTCGTATAAAATCTGTGGATGATAAGCATAAGAATCAAAACTGTGGTGTCTTTGTACCTGCAAATGTTCCTGGAGCAATTGGGCAAGTAAATTGTTATGGCAGAGTTGTAGATATGTTTGAGGTCAAATATTGTGGTCCTACTGAAGCAGGAGATAGGGGTCGAGCTGTGATGTTATTTAAGTGCGAATGGGTTAATAGTGAAAGTCCACGAGGAATGAAGACTGATCAATATGGATTTACTATGGTGAATTTCAATCAATTGGGATTTAAAGAGGATCCTTTCATACTAGCATCACAAGCATTACAGGCATTTTACGTGGAGGACACGATTGAAAAAGATTGGCACGTAGTTGTTCGAACTCAGCCAAGAGATTTATTTGACGTATTAGAGGATAGTGATGCTATTGATGATTATGACACGCCGAACTTGGATGATCGAATTCTTGATAATGAAAATTTTCATACAAGGGTTGGCGTGGAAGAGACTCCCTTTCTTGAATCATTAGCGTTGCCTACCGGGTTCGTTAATCATGCCAATACCGACGAAGAGCTAACAGATGATGACAGGGAATAAATATATTAATTATTTTTTGTTAATTATTTTTTGTATTAATTAGACTTTGTTTTATTTTGTATGCTATGATATCGTATTATAAAATTATATTTCTTTTTTTTTTTTTTTTTCCTTGACATTCTGTCGCTTTTAACCGACGGCATTTTTCAGGTATTTCAGAATTGCGTCGGTTTTAACCGACGCAACCCCAGCCTATTTCGACGCAATGTTAAGCTTAGGACATGTGTGTCAGACTTGGCGTCGGTTTTAACCGACGCAACCCTAGCCTATTTCGACGCAATGTTAAGCTTAGGACATGTGTGTCAGACTTGGCGTCGGTTTTAACCGACGCAACCCTAGCCTATTTCGACGCAATATGAGACTATTTCGACGCAAGATACTTGTTGTCAATCATATGCATTACCCCTAATAATAATAATTATATATAATTATTTTTTATTATTTGCAGTTTTATAGCCTAAATATTAATAATTATATATTAATTTAATTGTTTTACACCCCTAAAAACAATAATAATTATATATTAATTTAACTGTTTTACACCCCTATACGAATGCAATGAATGTTTTACACCCTAATAATAATAATTATATATAATTATTTTTTATTATTTGTAGTTTTATACTAATTATAATAATTATAAACTCTAAGTGTTAGCCAATCTATCGTTTTACGAATTCTCCAAAACTAATTTCAACGATCCAAACCGTCAAAATTGTTTGTATATGCTTGGAGATCACATCAGCAAAAAATCACAAAAAAAAAACATTCAGAGATCAAGTAACGGGACAAAGCTTTTCGACGGTTATAAACGAAAAATCACGATTTAACGGTTATTTTAACTCCGATTTAGATGATTTTTTATAACTACACTCCTTGACCCTATATGAATACAATGAATGAATTCGATCTTCAATTTAAAATATTTACACAAGTGGATACCACAAAATCTTACGTTATACGTAATGAAAGTATAAATAAACTCTAAGTGTTAGCCAATCTATCGTTTTACGAATTCTCCAAAACTAATTTCAACGATCCAAACCGTCAAAATTGTTTGTATATGCTTGGAGATCACATCAGCAAAAAATCACAAAAAAAAAACATTCAGAGATCAAGTAACGGGACAAAGCTTTTCGACGGTTATAAACGAAAAATCACGATTTAACGGTTATTTTAACTCCGATTTAGATGATTTTTTATAACTACACTCCTTGACCCTATATGAATACAATGAATGAATTCGATCTTCAATTTAAAATATTTACACAAGTGGATACCACAAAATCTTACGTTATACTTAATGAAAGTATAAATAAACTCTAAGTGTTAGCCAATCTATCGTTTTACGAATTCTCCAAAACTAATTTCAACGATCCAAACCGTCAAAATTATTTGTATATGCTTGGAGATCACATCAGCAAAAAATCACAAAAAAAAAACATTCAGAGATCAAGTAACGGGACAAAGCTTTTCGACGGTTATAAACGAAAAATCACGATTTAACGGTTATTTTAACTCCGATTTAGATGATTTTTTATAACTACACTCCTTGACCCTATATGAATACAATGAATGAATTCGATCTTCAATTTAAAATATTTACACAAGTGGATACCACAAAATCTTACGTTATACGTAATGAAAGTATAAATAAACTCTAAGTGTTAGCCAATCTATCGTTTTACGAATTCTCCAAAACTAATTTCAACGATCCAAACCGTCAAAATTGTTTGTATATGCTTGGAGATCACATCAGCAAAAAATCACAAAAAAAAAACATTCAGAGATCAAGTAACGGGACAAAGCTTTTCGACGGTTATAAACGAAAAATCACGATTTAACGGTTATTTTAACTCCGATTTAGATGATTTTTTATAACTACACTCCTTGACCCTATATGAATACAATGAATGAATTCGATCTTCAATTTAAAATATTTACACAAGTGGATACCACAAAATCTTACGTTATACTTAATGAAAGTATAAATAAACTCTAAGTGTTAGCCAATCTATCGTTTTACGAATTCTCCAAAACTAATTTCAACGATCCAAACCGTCAAAATTATTTGTATATGCTTGGAGATCACATCAGCAAAAAATCACAAAAAAAAAACATTCAGAGATCAAGTAACGGGACAAAGCTTTTCGACGGTTATAAACGAAAAATCACGATTTAACGGTTATTTTAACTCCGATTTAGATGATTTTTTATAACTACACTCCTTGACCCTATATGAATACAATGAATGAATTCGATCTTCAATTTAAAATATTTACACAAGTGGATACCACAAAATCTTACGTTATACGTAATGAAAGTATAAATAAACTCTAAGTGTTAGCCAATCTATCGTTTTACGAATTCTCCAAAACTAATTTCAACGATCCAAACCGTCAAAATTGTTTGTATATGCTTGGAGATCACATCAGCAAAAAATCACAAAAAAAAAACATTCAGAGATCAAGTAACGGGACAAAGCTTTTCGACGGTTATAAACGAAAAATCACGATTTAACGGTTATTTTAACTCCGATTTAGATGATTTTTTATAACTACACTCCTTGACCCTATATGAATACAATGAATGAATTCGATCTTCAATTTAAAATATTTACACAAGTGGATACCACAAAATCTTACGTTATACTTAATGAAAGTATAAATAAACTCTAAGTGTTAGCCAATCTATCGTTTTACGAATTCTCCAAAACTAATTTCAACGATCCAAACCGTCAAAATTATTTGTATATGCTTGGAGATCACATCAGCAAAAAATCACAAAAAAAAAACATTCAGAGATCAAGTAACGGGACAAAGCTTTTCGACGGTTATAAACGAAAAATCACGATTTAACGGTTATTTTAACTCCGATTTAGATGATTTTTTATAACTACACTCCTTGACCCTATATGAATACAATGAATGAATTCGATCTTCAATTTAAAATATTTACACAAGTGGATACCACAAAATCTTACGTTATACGTAATGAAAGTATAAATAAACTCTAAGTGTTAGCCAATCTATCGTTTTACGAATTCTCCAAAACTAATTTCAACGATCCAAACCGTCAAAATTGTTTGTATATGCTTGGAGATCACATCAGCAAAAAATCACAAAAAAAAAACATTCAGAGATCAAGTAACGGGACAAAGCTTTTCGACGGTTATAAACGAAAAATCACGATTTAACGGTTATTTTAACTCCGATTTAGATGATTTTTTATAACTACACTCCTTGACCCTATATGAATACAATGAATGAATTCGATCTTCAATTTAAAATATTTACACAAGTGGATACCACAAAATCTTACGTTATACTTAATGAAAGTATAAATAAACTCTAAGTGTTAGCCAATCTATCGTTTTACGAATTCTCCAAAACTAATTTCAACGATCCAAACCGTCAAAATTATTTGTATATGCTTGGAGATCACATCAGCAAAAAATCACAAAAAAAAAACATTCAGAGATCAAGTAACGGGACAAAGCTTTTCGACGGTTATAAACGAAAAATCACGATTTAACGGTTATTTTAACTCCGATTTAGATGATTTTTTATAACTACACTCCTTGACCCTATATGAATACAATGAATGAATTCGATCTTCAATTTAAAATATTTACACAAGTGGATACCACAAAATCTTACGTTATACGTAATGAAAGTATAAATAAACTCTAAGTGTTAGCCAATCTATCGTTTTACGAATTCTCCAAAACTAATTTCAACGATCCAAACCGTCAAAATTGTTTGTATATGCTTGGAGATCACATCAGCAAAAAATCACAAAAAAAAAACATTCAGAGATCAAGTAACGGGACAAAGCTTTTCGACGGTTATAAACGAAAAATCACGATTTAACGGTTATTTTAACTCCGATTTAGATGATTTTTTATAACTACACTCCTTGACCCTATATGAATACAATGAATGAATTCGATCTTCAATTTAAAATATTTACACAAGTGGATACCACAAAATCTTACGTTATACTTAATGAAAGTATAAATAAACTCTAAGTGTTAGCCAATCTATCGTTTTACGAATTCTCCAAAACTAATTTCAACGATCCAAACCGTCAAAATTATTTGTATATGCTTGGAGATCACATCAGCAAAAAATCACAAAAAAAAAACATTCAGAGATCAAGTAACGGGACAAAGCTTTTCGACGGTTATAAACGAAAAATCACGATTTAACGGTTATTTTAACTCCGATTTAGATGATTTTTTATAACTACACTCCTTGACCCTATATGAATACAATGAATGAATTCGATCTTCAATTTAAAATATTTACACAAGTGGATACCACAAAATCTTACGTTATACGTAATGAAAGTATAAATAAACTCTAAGTGTTAGCCAATCTATCGTTTTACGAATTCTCCAAAACTAATTTCAACGATCCAAACCGTCAAAATTGTTTGTATATGCTTGGAGATCACATCAGCAAAAAATCACAAAAAAAAAACATTCAGAGATCAAGTAACGGGACAAAGCTTTTCGACGGTTATAAACGAAAAATCACGATTTAACGGTTATTTTAACTCCGATTTAGATGATTTTTTATAACTACACTCCTTGACCCTATATGAATACAATGAATGAATTCGATCTTCAATTTAAAATATTTACACAAGTGGATACCACAAAATCTTACGTTATACTTAATGAAAGTATAAATAAACTCTAAGTGTTAGCCAATCTATCGTTTTACGAATTCTCCAAAACTAATTTCAACGATCCAAACCGTCAAAATTATTTGTATATGCTTGGAGATCACATCAGCAAAAAATCACAAAAAAAAAACATTCAGAGATCAAGTAACGGGACAAAGCTTTTCGACGGTTATAAACGAAAAATCACGATTTAACGGTTATTTTAACTCCGATTTAGATGATTTTTTATAACTACACTCCTTGACCCTATATGAATACAATGAATGAATTCGATCTTCAATTTAAAATATTTACACAAGTGGATACCACAAAATCTTACGTTATACTTAATGAAAGTATAAATAAACTCTAAGTGTTAGCCAATCTATCGTTTTACGAATTCTCCAAAACTAATTTCAACGATCCAAACCGTCAAAATTGTTTGTATATGCTTGGAGATCACATCAGCAAAAAATCACAAAAAAAAAACATTCAGAGATCAAGTAACGGGACAAAACTTTTCGACGGTTATAAACGAAAAATCACGATTTAACGGTTATTTTAACTCCGATTTAGATGATTTTTTATAACTACACTCCTTGACCCTATATGAATACAATGAATGAATTCGATCTTCAATTTAAAATACAAAGAGTGACTCAACTCTTCTAAGCTTTCTAGGGTAATTAACTTTCCGATGTGGAGCAACTCTACATATCACCACACTTCCAACTTTGATTTGGGTTCAATGGTGTTTAATCCATTCTAGTAAATAACAACCAAATGTTATCAAATGTATCAAAATAACAACAAATTAAAATAACAATTAGAGTGCAAAAAAAATTAATTTAACATAATATATTCTTATATTCCTAAATATTATAAGTTTAGGTTATATTTAATATTGTTAATTTAACATAAATGCTTATAAATATTATTCATTCCATTTTCTCATAACAACTCAAATTATGTTCATCTAATCCATTCTAGTAAATAACAACAAAAAATTATCAAAATAACAACAAATTAAAATAACAATTACAGTGCAAAAAAAATTGATTCAACTTAATAAATTTATTTATTAAAATATTATATGACATAACATAACTAATTATTTTTAAATTTTGGGTAAATTGATTGGCATGTCTAATTATTTATTAAAATATTATATGACATAACATAACTTAATACATTTATTTATTTGTTCCTTTTTTTTTGGGAAGTACAAATTTTATTTTTATGTTCGGCGGGAGGTTTCCCGGTATTTTTTGCTGGGAATGGGTTGAATTGATTGGCATGTCAACTTGGACTGGTTTTAATCGAGGCAAAATTATACATTTTCGAGACTAATTGAATGTCAGACGATTCTTATTTCGAAGCAAATGTTTTCATATTTCGACACAAACTTTCTCTTATTAAAAACCTGTCAGGCTAACGTCGGTTAAAACCGACGCAATGTGACCTTATTTCGACGCAAAGGCATTTATGACTGAAACATGTCAGACTTTCAGTCAAAACTATGTCAGGCTATAATATAGGTCGAATCAGATATAGTGGCGGTTTTAAGCGACACAAACCTGTGCTTATTTCGACGCTATGCAAGCTAACGTCGGTTTTAAACGACGCAGTAGGCCCTTATTTCGACGCTATGCAAGATAACGTCGGTTTAAAGCGACGCAATAGGCTTGCACTGACAAGTATAGCAGGCTTTATGTCAGGTTACGTGTGGGGAGGTTTAGTCAGTGATTGTGTCGGTTTTAAGCGACGTAATGTATTCATATTTCGACGCTAAGTTGTTATCCATATTTAATTTCTGTCTCCCTTCACTTCCGTGTTCCACTTCTGTCTCTCCTCTCTATCACCCATTTCTGGCTTCCTCTTTCCCCCATTTCTAGCTTCCTCTTTCCCCCACTTCCTTCTCCTTCCATTAAGTTTTGCAATGGATAATTCCCGTGAAGATCAACGTTCTGAGGAACTTCATTTGGAAGAGGACGAGGGTGATGCTGGTTCTTTTTTGAATTGTTATGAGTGTCAGTTTTTTTTTTTTTTTTTGTGTGTTTGAACGATTATTATTGCTAATCTGAAAATATACTTTTGTTTCCTACTTTTTAATTGTGTGTTTGTATTAACAAGGTACATCTCAACGGAGGCGTGGACCCTCAATTCCTAAATGGACGAAACAGCTTTGTTCGTTTGATTCGTCCGGAAAATGCATTAGTGATAACGCTAGTGCTTTTTCAAAACATGTAGCAGCGGAGGTTAGGGACTATAGAAATCTTCCGTTGGAGAAAGATTGGCGTAAGGTTACGGAAGAAGATAAGGAAGCTTTTTGGAATAGAATAAAGGTATATATAGATCTTTTTATTTTTAGTTGAAAATAGAAGAATAGGTCAATGATTGTAATAATATTTGACTAGCGTGATTTTTTTTGTTTTTTGTTTTTATGTATGTAGGGAAGTATCTTTTTTGAAGATGCAGATATAGTAAAAATGCCTTTGATCCGTCATATGACGCTTAAGATTGCGGAGCATGCGCACAAAGAGTTTAGAAATAAGTTAAAAAAAAAGTATTATACTAAAAGAGCAGAACAGGTTCGCAGCGAGCCTCCTCCTGATGTGATTCCTACCCAGTGGAATGATTTGTTGGCATATTGGAATAGAGACAAAACAAAGGTAAACCCTACACGATTTATTTCGTTATAACTTTAAAGTTGCCTAATATAATCTTTTCTTTTTTCGTTCGTTTTTTTTCAGGAGGTTGCTGAAAAAAATAAGATTAATCGGGGATTGAAATCAATGAACCATACTACTGGTACAAAATCCTTTGCAAGAGTGCGGGAAGAATATGTATGGATTGTACATTTTCAAGAGATGATTAATTTTAAATAATTATATTTATTTTTAGTATGAGGTTTGCTTAATTTGTTTGTATGAAATTTTATTTTTGATAAAGCGGAAGAAGCATGGGAAAGAAGCAGATCCTGTAACCTTTTTTCGTGAATGTCATACACGAAAAGATAAATCATGGATTGATGAAACATCGGAGCGTACAGGGGTAATTGATTTTTTCGTGTTAGTATTTGATTTTATTAGTATTTATTATCTATAGCTTATTTTTCTGTTTTACGATTGAATTTTTGTTTTTAAAAATTGTAATGCAAGTCAACAATGGAGAGCAACCTGCAAACATTGATTGAGTCGGGCCAAGACGATAATGAAGATCTTAGGACCCAAGTTTATGTTGATACTATGGGTCCTGAGAGGTATAATAGAGTCAGAGGATACGGTCATGGTGTGACTCCTGATATGGTGTCTTATGCATCTTCTGCATCTTCTACATCAATTTCCTCTAGGAGATCATCTAAGAGTTCAATGGCGTTGCTAATGACTCAAAATAATGAGTTGAAATTGAGAGACGAAAATAATAATAAACGGATTTCGGACCTGGAGAACAAGCAAAATCAGTTGTTTGCATGGTTTTTTCAAAGATTTCAGCCACAACCACCATATAGCCCGGGAACCCAACAATCAGGCCACAGTCAACCTCCTCAACAGTCGGGCCAAAGTCAGCCTTCCCCTGCATATCCGTATGCTGGCAATAATCAGCAACCTCTATATCCTGTGTATCCGATGCCTGCGCAGCCCATGCCATACATGCAGCAGCCGCCCATGCCATACATGCAGCAGCCGCCCATGCCATATATGCAGCAGCCACCTTATCAAGTGCCAGTATATCGACCTGAGATGGCTGCTCCTAGTGGATCTTTTCCTGAAGTTCCAGTTGGGGGGTTTTCTGGAATGCTTGCAGGTGTTGGATTTGATGTGGACTTGTCGAGGATTTTTGGATCAGATGGAGGATCTCAAGGAGGAGTATCTCAAGGAGAAGATTCTCAAGCAGAAGGATCTGGACGACGTTCAGGCGCAGATTCGGTTGGGTAGTTTAATTGGTTCTTTTTCTTGTCGGTTAAATACGACAGTATAATTGGTCTATCTTTTTGTTTTTTTATGTTATGTTTGTAATGTCGGATTTAATGTTTGTTACGACGGACGACTTTTTGGATTTTATGTGAAATGTGAAATGTACGGTTTGGCACTATTGTTTTTGTTATTTATTTTCATTAATGTTTATTTTGATCTTAAAATTTATAATTTTTTTTGGTTGGAATTAATTGAAATTGCATGCAGTTGTTCATCCACTTTTATTATTATTAAAAAATATAGTGTCGGTTAAGACCGTTACTAGTTTTTATATTTTATTTATTTAATTGTTATCTAACGTCGGTTTAAGGAATATTTTATTTATTTCATTTTAATATAATGTCGCTTTAAAGCGACAGTATACTGCATACTTTATTATTAAATAGCTGATGCACGTGTAAGTATGCGTCGCTAGTTTTTATATTTTATTTATTTCATTGTTATCTAACGTCGGTTTAAGGAATATTTTATTTATTTCATTTTAATATAATGTCGCTTTAAAGCGACAGTATACTGCATACTTTATTATTAAATAGCTGATCCACGTGTAAGTATGCGTCGCTTTAAACCGACGTTAGGGTTAGTGTCGCTTTAAAGCGACACTGTGTAGTGGCGGATTAAGCTCAAAAAGCGACGCTGAAGCCCTTTTGCGACCCTAGCAATAGTGTCGCTATTGAAAAGCGACATTACATTATGTAATGTCGGATTTGTGCCAAATTTTCGACAGAAAGTTGATTTCTCGTCGGTTTGTCCTCCGCCGGTGATAGCATATATTGTAGTAGTGTCGGTATGGATCCCAAAATTTTGGTATTATCGGTTTGGAAATTTTTCAATATGGGATCGGGATTTTTTTGGTTTAATTTGAGATTTTCGGGAAAATTTTCCAACCCTAATCTGATGTAAACGATATCATATTTTTTTTATTTTTTTTTATAGAAATAATCTTTAAATAGTTTATAATAGGAACATTTCTAATCATAATAAAATAGTTTCTTGAATCACCCATTAACTACTTTTGACCAAAAAAAAAAAAAAAATCACCCATTAACTACTTTGCGTGGGGATCTCTTGGGCAATGGGTACATTCATTTCAAAGTTTTTGCAAAATTTAAACTAGCAAGAAAGTTAAAACCACAACAGAGTAAAAGGAAATTTAAATAAGGGTCAGGTTACGTGGTTAAATTTGTAGACTAAATTTGCAAACTAAAAGATACGTTACAAATAAGAATTAAGCACGTTAACCAACGCTTAAGTAATAATTCAATTATCAACTCGTATGTCATAATGTAGTCTCCCTAACATTGCCCATTAAATAAAGACATTGCTAAAAAGAATAGGCAGATTAATATGTTAGGTTACTGCAGACCACAGAAGAATATGCACAAATGCATGGTTCAAAATTATTCCAAATATGACACAATTACTTCACATTAATTAAAATTTAAGCTCTCACCTAATAGTAAAAATTAGTAAAACATGATCATTAACTAATTTATCAGCTAACTACTACCAAATAACAGATTAAGAAGGAAGAAACGAAAAAATAAAAAGAGATTCTATATTAATTAACTTATTGTCAGATCATTTTCTCGAGAAATTTCAACTTGTGAATTTAAGCAGGCATCCAGGCTGTGGCAAACACAACATTGTGTCCCTTCCAGGTAAGCACAACATCTTCTTCTTCTCTCTTCAATCCCCAACCAGTTGCATGTTCATCAAGCATGGCCTTCACTTCCAAAACCGCATCTTCCCCAAATGAAACGCTCCGAAAGTTGGCATTTCGCATTCGCTGCACCCACCTGCATTTCGGCTCCAGCCTCTCCACCCTCTGAAAGCCCTCGTACGCTATCACGTTCTCAATCTTCCAACACACATCCGCCTCGTACCACTGCCTCTGCTTGCTTCCCCGCGGCAAAAATGTGTCCAAGGTGTCATAAGGTATCCACAGGTAATTGAAGGCCGACCTCAATCTACACACTGGATTATTCGATGTCAAATCCACATCTTCGTCCACCAAAACCACAATCGTCGGCTCCAAACCCCGAAGCTCTTTCAGAAACACTGTCCTTAGCGACGAACTCGAAGAGGACGAAGCATCAAAACCGTAAGAGCTAGTCGAACCACTACTACTTGGATTCGGATTGATTGCTGGAAGTGTCAATGCCTCTTCAGAAATGTAGTGAAGCATCATGTGGCAATTCACTACAAGCGCCTCACTACTCTCCGCATACACTAAATTTTGTACGCGGAGTTGTTGGATTAGGTTGGCAAACCCATCAGTGTAACTTGACGGGATGACCCTAAACTCTAAAATGATGTTTCTTGACCTTGCGAAATTAACCAACTTGGAACCCAGTTCCTCGTATGACAGGTCCAGCATTGGAGGGACGTCCTCCATGGTACCCGCCACAGTGAGCTTCAGCAATGGAGGACTCACATTACCGTCATGACGTCTGGCAATGGCGTCGACCAGAGTTGGGATTTGCATGCAATGCGTCAAGCTCAGGTCAACAATGTGAACCACAGAATACCCTTCAACAGCTTCTAGAATGGCTGCATTTGCGGTGGTGAATCCGAACCTGTGCCACGGTGTCAGGTCGATGAAGGAGGCGAGCTCAACGACGGAGAACTTGTGAGTGTGGATGGTGAAGTTGGCTTGGGAGTTGGCCATGGCGGCGAGGACCTTACAGTTTCCGATTCGGGCTGCTCGGGCAATGAGGGCTCGGAGAAACGCGCAGGTGAGGCGCTGATTGGAGTCGCCGTCTTGGGGGGCGATGTTGTTGAGGACCCAGAGGATCTGCTGGGCTAGGGTGGCGTCGTTGGTTTCGATGGCGTTAGCGCAGTGGACGAGCAGCTGCTCCATGCAGTTGGCGTCGCCAAAGTTTGTTCCTAGGAACTTTGAGGTCGGAAAGCCAGGCCACGGGTGCATGCGGTAGGTTTGGTTTGTGTTCATCATTATTGGGAAGTTATTGGAATAGGGTGTGGTGATAATTTCGTGCAAGGGTGGTGGTGGTGTCTCAGTAAATTGCATCATTGGGAGAGAAAAGAGAAGGGAAATTAATTCAGAAAAATTTTTGGAAAACTGTTGCTTAAGAAAAAAGATAGAGTTACTGAGACGAGTTCAGAAGGAAAGAGACCAGACTGGTAGTGGCTAGCTTTGGCATTGGGAAACTTAAAAATTTTTAGTAGGGTTGGGAGAATTGTTCTGCAAATATTATGAATGGGAACAAAATAGAGAGTTCAGCTTTTTTCTGAACGGAGGGAAACTCTCAGCCCCAAACAATGAAAAAAAAAAAGTGTAATTGGAAGTCAAAATTGGGGGAAAAGAGACTGAACCTAACAGTATTATTTTTTCTTCTGCTGTATTTTCAGAAGAGATGGATATATATATATATATACATATATATATGAGAAAAATCTAGGTAGTGCTATAAGGTAATAGAAGCAGTTCTGATTCAACAAACCTTTTCAAGCTACAAAAGGGTCTAATCCCTTTTCATATCTCCTTTTTGCTGCTTTTTTCTTGATCAGGTAAGACAGACAGAGGGAGAAGGCTAGCTGATATATCATATAGAAGGAGCAGAAGAGAGAGAGAGAGAGAGAGAGAGAGAGAGAGAGAGAGAGATGGTGTGGTGTGGCTTTAGTGTATGAGCTGCGTTTTGGTGGCATGTGAAGTTAGCCGGCCAGGGGATTGTTTGTATGTGGAAGTTGAGATTTTGTAATGGAGTGGGGTGGGGATCGGAGGCAGTTACTAATCTTTTGGTTCAAGGTTCATCAGTACTCTACTCATTGGTCACGGGCCACCATATATAATAAGATCAGTACGCATATCATGAACAAATCATTTTATCAGAGCAATTTTCTTTCTTCTTTTGTTACTATGAATTATTCCTTTCATGAGCAGTAGTGGCGTTTTGGCGCAATTGTTTTTGGTAAAAAGTACGTTTCATTTTACTAAAAGTTGTGGGAAAGTATTCTATTATTTAGATATTTTATGTTTTGGTACTTTAGGTTTTAGGAAAAACAACCCTTTACATGCAAAAAGTCAAGTATTTATTTTTTGGTACTCAAGTATGTGGAGAATTAATTTAATTTAGATTATAGTTTTTATCACAAATGGTCCCTGAAGTTGACCCTCAAGATGGTCCCTGAAATTGAAAATTAATCAATGTAGTTCCTGAAAATAAGTGTCGCAAATCAATATGGTCATTTCGTCATATTTCTATTAAAAATTCTGTCAAGTGTTGAAGTGGCACTTAAATGGGCCTCATAAGTCTTTTTTCCTTACAAATGATCCTTGAAATTGACCTGCGACATCAAAATGGTCTCTGGAATTGACCCGTGACATCAAAATGGTCATTGAAATTGAAAATGATCAATGTAGTCCTTCAAGTAAGTGTCTCAAATCAATGTAATCATTCCGTCACAATTTTGTCAAAAATTCTTTTATGTGCTGATGTGACACATAAATGGGTCACACAAGTGTAATTAAATTTAAAAAAATTACAAATAGGCTTAATAATTTAATAGTTAATAAAAAAGTTGTCAACCTAAAAACTCAGTCCTGCAATCACCTCCGATCCCAGTCCACATTTCTCTACCTCATTTGCTCTCTATTCTCTTTAAAAAAAAAAAAAAAAAAAAAAATCCCAATACACTCATCTTTACACACTTCAACACCTTTCACCGAATTGAACCTGGATCGAGATCACTTTTGATGATGGCTTGCCTGATCGGCAATGACTTCTGGGACATCACTGTTAACATTTTGGCGATCAACATCCTCACAACCTTAATCTTGGAGGGCTTGTTCAGCGCTTGCCTAGTGGTCTAGTGATGCAAAGAACGGCGAGGTCTGCCTTGAGATAATGAGGTTATAACCGAGGTGCGTCTATTGTTGGTTGAAAACTATTTCCACACCCCATCTTAGGCCTTGGTTAAGTTTTGTGCCTTTGAGAATTTATGGAAGGGATCTCTCTTCGGAATAGGCCATACTATAAGAAAAAAAAAAATTCATTGTATAAAAAGGTATTTAGACAACATTTTAAATTAATTAATAAACCCACATCAGCACATAACAATTTTTTTTTTTATAGAATTGTGGTAAAAAGATCATATTGATTTGTGACACTTATTTTCAAGGGTTACATTGATGGTGTGGGTCAATTTCAAGGATCATTTGTGATAAAAGCCCGTAAATTTTGTGGGGACCATTTATGTGCCTCATCAATACTTAACAAAATGTTTAACAGAATTGTGATTGAAGGATCACATTGATTTGCAACACCTATTTTCAGGGACTATATTGATTGATTTTCAATTTCAGGGACCATCTTAACGGTGTGGGTCAATTTCAAGGATCATTTGTGATAAACTCTAAAGGACAAAAAGTGGATGTTTGGTAAGTTTCAGAATATAACTTAGGTTGTTGCCTGCACAGACGTTGTTGATCGATTGACGAAGTTGGATTTTGATCGATACTAAGGCGGAGGATATTACTGCATATACTTTCTGACCTTGCTTCCTTCGGGTCTAGGGCTACACGTTGGGATAAAATTTCTTATATTAACTGATTTTGATCTGAAAATTTCCAACTTTCGCATTCCATGATCAACAACGTATCATCTAACGTTTGTGGAAAAAAAAGGGACAAGACTTGGAATGTATCTTAGAATTTCTATGGCCGAAGACATTGAAGTTTTGAGCTAGAACTAACCACTTAACAATAAAATAAATAGGATTAATGATTAGGAAGGCAAAGAAAATTGTTAAGGCTAAAATTATATATGTGACTGCATATGATCTCCCTGAAGGCTACAATATATCATTGCCTGCTCTTTTAAGTATGTGATAGATTCTTAATTATAGGTTTGCAATATTGATTTTAACCTTTCAATTTTTTTTGAGCATTTGAAATTCCAAATTTTGTTCTGAAGAATTTTGAAATATGTAAGTTCCAAAAATTTTCGGAAATTCTGAATTTTCAAATCATAATGGATCTTGAAGTTATGATTTTTTAAAACAAAATTAGACGGTATATATCATATATCATCATATTGTATTGAAATGGAACCCCCTAACTTCGATTTGACTCGTTTGAAAAATCACTCCTACTTCAGGTTATCCCAAAAATTTAATTATGAAATGAACTTTTCTGAAGCACACTATTTAGAACACTCTTTGGCATAAAAAGAGACAAACAGCAAGCAAAAAACCCTTCTTTTTCTTGTTTTACCACATAGAAAAGGTTTCTTTGATGGTGGATGACGGTAATACCATAATACCACTCCCATTTTATCTGTTTGCACTCCTTCCTTTTATTTTTATGCTTTAGTAATGGAGCGCAGCCAAACAATAATTAGGCTCTTTTTTTTTTTCCTTCGTTTGTGTACTTCTTGGATACATCTTGATAGAGGTACAAAATGTTAGATCATGGAAATATAATTTTCGCTCTAAAAATCGCATCATATGTTAGAATATGAAGGAAAAACCACTTAATTTGTGCATGCATCACGTTGCTTTCATGTGAACTTCATTATCAAAAATGTTCCTATACAGTATATAAAGTGTTCCACATCATTAGATGATTAGTTAAATGATGATTGTACAAGTCGGCAATATAGTCTGTAAGTTTGGTAGGCCATCTCCAATTGAGCCAACCAAGTGGCTAGCTATAGACCAAAATATAGCTCGTTTTGATACAAAACCCATCTCTAATGGAGGGCTAGGCCAAAAAAATTTGGGACCCACCAAGCCAAAATATAGCCAAATGACCAGAGGGTTGGGCAAACATAGTCAGCCAGCTAGTGATGAAAGTTGGGCCCAGCTGTGCTAGCTGACGTCATGTAGTTTTTTTTTTTTTTTTTTTTAAGACGAAATTAAAAAAAATTAAAAAAAAAACTAATTTTTTCCCTGTAAATACCTAAGTGTTGCAATCCTATTAGACTAGGAATGTGATTGTGTAAATTCTAATAGATCTAGGGATATCTCGTATATTCCTATTAGGAGTTGATTACCTATTAAGAGTTGTAATCCTAAAGGGTAAGGAATTAACCTTCCCTATTACTATAAATAAAGGCACAATGGGGTGGAATAGAACACACCCACAATTACACATCCTTCTCTCTCTACTATTGCCACACCTTTCTCTCTCTCTCTCTACTATTGTCGCATCTTTCTCTCTCTCTCTCTCTCTCTCTCTCTCTCTGGCCTCCATAATTATTCAGTAAATTATGCCTACAACACGTTATCAGCACGCTCTTGACGCTGCGCTAAAGAGAGTTTGATCTTCAATATGGGGAGTATTACGTTTTGATCATTCTTTTTGTGATTAATTTATTCTTTTGAATTGATCTACATGCTATTGATTCAATTTAATTTTTCTATGTTGAACGTGATACAACACATTGGAGGTGCAATTTTGGCTTTCCGGGAAGGATCTTCTACAAATTCAAAGGTTTTTATTGTTTTTTGCCAATCAGGTATGCTTAAAATAAAGTAAGTAACATATTTGAAACGATCGTGAAGCATGAAAACATTCGCCATGATACAAAATAAATTAGAAGCAATTTGGGTTTTTCAACCCTATAATTTTTTCAGAAAAAGAAAGAAAAGAAAAAAAAAAGGGAAGAAAAATCACTTTTTTTTTACGGCTGAAATCGCACCAAGCCTGAAGCTTGGGACAACCCTTTAGGCCTACTGCCCAAATTGGACCAGGCCTGCCGCTTGGATCCCTTATGCATGGGCATCACGCCCTTAGCCCGTTCAAGAAGCAACAAAAGCTGCTGGGTTTTTTTGCTCTCGGCCCGCATCTACTTCCTGGGTTTTCTCTCGGCCCGTACACTATCAGCCAGCAGCTGATGAGCCCGCCTTCCATCTGTGACAGACCTCGGCCCGCTTTGCAGCAGCAAGCCCGCTGCTTATGTTTTTTTTTCTTTTCCTCGGCCCATGATTGCAGCAAGCCTGCAAGCTTACTTCTGCAATTTGTTGGGCTGCCTGCAGCAGCCTTACATGGCCCATTTTCCTATTGCAAGTCTGCAGCTTGCACACACTGACTGGGTTGCCCCGTGTGGCCTGTCCAAGCCAAATTTTGGCCTGCTTCCGCTTCTAGCCACTCCCAACCCTAGGGTGCCCACGGAAAAGCCCAAATTGGACCATATTTCCTTTAGTGCTTGGCCCAAAATTGCACACACTGACTTATTTGTATTGCATTCTGTGTTCATTCAGAAACATCTCTTTTCTGAACTAAACGTTCATAAACTAAATTGAACATGTAGTGTCAAATTTAGTGCCTTTAAAACCCGAAGTTTTCATAAAACAATACACCCATGAAAACCCGATGTTTTTCATGAAAACCATGTCTTAGAACTCGAATGTTCTAACTTTGATGCTTATAGATGATTCATTCCCATAGCACCAATCACAATCTTGTTCCCTCTAATTCAGTGAATTGTCGAACCATCACAAGTTCGATTTTCCTGATTTGGATATTTTCTAATAGAAACCACTTTATGTGGGGTACAAGACGTGAATCTCCACTTGACTATCCAGAAGCTGAGAAACTATTGAAGCCAACAA